GGCCGGGCGGAGGGAGACCCAGGCCACTACCCACCTCTACTCCGGCAGGCGCTGCAGCTGTTTGAGTCCCACGCTGGACACCTGGGCCCAGAGCAGTTCGGGGAGTTTGCCCTGCCCTACCTGCGGGACATCGTGCAGCAGGTGAAGAGCAGCCTGGAGGAGGCTGCGCTGCCTGCTGTGCCCATGGTGAGGTGACTGGCTTGGCTGCCAGCAGCGTGGCGGCAGAGGATGGCACTGCCCTCGCTGGCTGGGGCAGGAGGCTGGTCCAGCCCTGCCTGTGGCTGCAGGGGAGACTGTGTCCAGGCCCTACTTTCTCTCTCCCCACCCCCATGCTGGTGCTGCTACCCCAGCTCTCCACGGGGAGGCAGCAGTGGCGTGAGGAAGCCGCGGCATCCCTGGCACTGGTCCTGGGGTCAAGCTAGTGTCCGGCAGAACCTGCCTGTGGGCCGCCCCGGGGTCATGGGGGTGTCTGAGAGGGTGGTTCCTGGGTTGTGGATTTGGGCTGGTGCAGCCGCCCACAACCTCTGCTGCCACAGCTACAAGGGCTCTCAAACAGCCACGCTCTGGGCCAGGCCTTGGCCTACGTTGAGCTGATCACCTAAGCCAGCCCAGCGTGGTTTCCTGTTAGACTCCTCATCCCACTTGACACCTGAGCCCCCTCTGCCATGTGGGTCGGTGACTTAACTGGCAGCTGCTCCGTGCCTCAGTTTCCTCGACCATGGGCTGAGTGCACTGCCTCCTCTCCTTAGCAGGCGTCCGCTGGTCTGAGGCCCAAAGCCGGCTCTCCCTACGTAGCACAGGGGAGCTCAGGCCTGCAGCCGCCTCTCCTATCGCTCCCGGGAGGGTGGGCAGGGGCTGAGCAGACAAGGCGGGCACTAGGCTGGCAGCAGAGAGGGCCCATCATGCCCAAGCCCTGTGACTGACCCAGGCTCCATGTCTTTCTCCGCTCAGATTGTCTTTGCCAAGGACGCGCACTATGCGCTGGAGGAGCTGGCGCGGTCCGGCTACGACGTGGTTGGCCTCGACTGGACCATCCAGCCCCGGGAAGCGCGGTAAGATTCCCGCCCGGCTGGGGCAAGTGCATGTGGGCAGTGCTACCTGCCCTGGCGCCAGCCCCCGCTCCTTCCCATGCTGCAGAGAGGCCACAGCACTGCCAGGGTTTGGGGCCGGGAAGTGGGTCCAAGCCATCCTGGGGGCCAGTGCGGGGCCCTGCTTGCGGCTGGGGTGACTCGGGGCAGGGTTGGGGTACATGCAGGCTGCTCGGCCCCGTCTGGAGCCCTGGGGCGATAGCAGGGACCTGGAGAAGCATCTCATCCCCCAACCGTGCACAGGGACTCACCTGCTTCTTCTGTGGCAGGGAGCGGACAGGCCCATGCGTGACCCTCCAAGGCAACCTGGACCCTTGTGCCCTCTACGCACCCAAGGTAGGGAACGGAGGCTCCCCTTCCCTCGGAGGCAGGTCGCCTCCCCCTGCCTCAGCTTCCCTGCATCCAGGGTATGGAGGGTGTCCGTGTCCCAGGTCTGGGGAAAAGGGCAGCACAGTTCTCCGAGCCCTAGAGAAGGGGAAGCAGAGCCTGGTCACCACCCTGCCAGGGCTGCATGGGGGTAACGATGTCCCCCTCACGTGGCCAGGAGCGGATCGGGGAGCTAGTGAAGACGATGCTCGAGGGGTTTGGGACCCAGCGCTACATCGCCAACCTGGGTCACGGACTGTACCCCGACGTGAGCCCTGAGCACGTGGGTGCCTTCGTGGAAGCTGTGCACACACACTCCCGCCACCTCAGCCGGCACAAGTGACCCCGCCTGGCCCCGGGGCCGCCATGCCTGGGGGAAGACCAGCGGGACCAAAACCCCTCCCGGCTCCCCCAGTTGGATCACGGCAGCAGGGGCCGGGTCGTATCAGCTCAGCATTAAATCTGGTCGTGATGATGTGGTCTTCCCTCCTCTTCTCCTCGGGGTTGGGAGCAGGGTGCGCCTGGTGCTCCCTTGCGCCCCAAGTTAAGGCAGGGCATAGGCACCACCACCTCCCACAGCTGCCGGTGTCTGAACGCCTGGCCCCCCCAGCTGCACCGCTGGGCCCACGAGAGGGCAGGGGAAGCTGAGCTCCAGGTGGGCAGATGCTGGCATGAGGGCACCGTTGTGCTGCTGCCAGCTCTCTGCACGGCCACAGTAGGTCACAAAAGCCCCACGCTGCCTGTCTCTGCCACCAGAGCCAGTGCCAGCTTCCCCAGGGCAGTGCTTGCAAAGCCATCCACAGGCCCCTGTGCACTGTTGGAGCTGTAGCTCGGGGGCGGGTGGAGATGGGATCCTGCCTTGTGCCCGGAGCAGACTGGATGCACGCAATGTTCCCCCAAGTGCTAGGGTCTGGGTCCAGGCCAGATAAATGGGATGTGCCTGGAGCTGTCGTGCTCCCAGTGATTCCCATAAGCCAAACGCAGGCAGCAGGGCCCAGATGGAAAAGGAGGGGAGCTTCTCCTGTGATGGAGCCTGGCACACAGACCCGGTGCTGGCTGGTAGCAGCTGCCACGTGCTCCCAGGGCCTGGGAAGAGGGCAGGGTCCCTGGTGGAGCAAGCTGGCTGCAGAAAGCAGTGCCCGTGCCCAGGCTTCCCTGCAGCGGGTCGGGGGAGCTGGCTCATGGCTCAGACCAGACCCATCCTGGCCAAGCTAGCTGGACCCCAAGATAGCTGGCAGGAGCTCGTACAAGGGAAGCCTCTCAGGCTACTAGCCAGGCGGGGAGGCACCAATCTGTGCCTGGGGTTTCCCAGGGGGGACCTGGAGCCAGGCCAAGAGGAGGGTCCTGTCTGCTTCCAAAAAATGCCGCTTGGCTGCCTTCTGGGCCTGGGCTAGGGGCTCTGGCTGGGACCCCAGATGCCTGGGTTCAGGTGCCATCACAGGCCTCGTGAGCTTTGAGTTCCAATCTGGGAGCTGAGTGAGGACACCATCCCTCCCTTGGTCTCCGGTCACTGGCACCGTGGGCACCTGCCCACCCCAGAGCACCGACTCGGCACTGCCGGCCTGAGTCTGCCGACAGCCTGGGCCCATAGTGCAGGGAGGGGAGACCGTGCTGTGCCTCTTTGTGGGGGGCTCACCCGCAGCTCAACCCCTGTGGTGCCTGTGGCCCCTGCCACATTAAAGGATGGGGCCATGGGACTCCCCACATGGTACCGGGGTCCCCTTGTGCTGCCCCTGCCTGACCACCCTGGACCCCTGCCCGCTGCATCTGCCAGGACCCCCTGCCCCCCACGGTGGGTTATCCTGCGGCCCAGGGGGCCTCACCTGGGCAAGAGTGGAGGTCTGTCCGGTCGCCACTTCCAGCATCCTGAAACCACGGCAGGGTCCGCAGGGAGCGCAAAGCAGCGGGGTCGTTGCTAGCAGCAGAGATGCTGCTGTTCCCCAGGATCCCAGGCCCGGTCCTCCCCTTCCACCGGGGCCTGCTTGACTCGAGCGGACAGAGCCCTGCCCGCAGGGTCTCCCTCCCCTCTGGTTACGGGTGGACTTCAGGGCCTGATCCTGGGAGAGGCCGAGCACTCCCTGGCTGCCGGCTCAGGATCAGGCCCGCAAAGACGCAGCCAAAAGACGCCTGCTGTGGACGCTGGTCCTAGCCCAGAACCTGTGTTCGACTGGCCGTGACCCATCGCCACGACAAGGCCTCGGGCTGGGTCCTGCACAAGCGGCCAGCTGTGTCCAGGATCGGGGAGACCTGGCCTGGCCCCGAGCGCCCAGGAAAGCTGCACCCAACCCAGCTACGGTGTTGCTGCTCCCTGCCCCTCTTCTCCAGACCCCAGAGGCAGAGCTGGGACGTCCTTCCTCCATCGGGGACAGGCGCCAGGCAGAGCTGCCCTTTGCGGTAGCCCGTCATGGGCACGCGAATGAGGTACGAGGTGCGGGCGCAGCTACCCTGGCTTTGGCAGCACAGAAGAAAGCAGCTCCTCATGTCCCGCCAGCGCAGACACCAGCCCACCTTGCCCAGGACGGCTTAGACGCCAACCCATGTTGCCCGGGGGCAGCTTCCCTGTCCCATGGCGGGGCCCGCACGTCGTTCTTTTCAAACCGACAGCGCGGAAGCCAAGCCCGGGGCCCCCAGCAAGGCTACAGGTGCCGGGGGCAGCGACAGAAACAGCAGCCACCGGTACGTGCATTTGTCTCCTTTTATTACGAAAGGTTCGGTCAAGAGTTGCACACAAGGGGGTGGACATAAAAGAAAGAGAAAGAAACAGACTGGTTGGAGAATGATACTTGTGCAGCGACCAACACCGTGCACAACCGGCTGCCCGTGCCCGTCGCGCAGACACCAAAAGAAAACCGAACCCGACGGTAGGTCGTTAGCCCACTTTCTCTAGCTACAAGTCACTCCCCCCCCACCCCCCCGCCCTCCCGACCCGTGTAGGGGTGAACACATGGGACCAGGGAACACAAAGACACGGGGAATACAAAGAGCCGGCCTTGCTCTCCCTCCGCCCCAATCCAGTCCAAGTCACGGGGCAGCAGGAGGCGGTGGCGCAGGCCTGCCTCGCACAGGCATGGGCATGGCTAGGAAACGAGAGGACAAAATCAAGCCCGTGGCATGTTCCTGCCCCCGCTCCAACATGCATGTGCCCGCACACCTCTTGCACACACATGCACACGCGGAGAGGAAGGCCCAAATTCGAGCTATGTTACACCTGGGCTCAACCGCTTTGTGCACCCACGTCTCCTCCCGGCGGCTTGGCCCTGTGGAAGCACGACACGATGCCTCCGGCAGACACCAGGTGAGGCGAGCGCCCGGTCTCCAGCCAGCGTCCATCTCCGCAGGATCCGAGCCCACGCCGTGTCCGTGCAGAGGGGCCCGTCCGCCGGCCCGTGTGGTCCCGCTCCTCGTGCCGGGGCCCTGCATAGCTCTGCATCGGTTTCCAATTGCCGGCGTCTTCCCTCCCCCACCCTCTTGCCGCATCCAGCACCGGAGAGGCCAGGGAAACCTGAGAAACGTTCGCGCGTCTCCTCCTGCTTTTATTGATTCTCGTTAAATTAAAAAACAAACGAACAAAAAAAAAAAAAAAAAAAAAGTCCCGGCCCCCGACAATTTCAAGTATCCCCCAAATAAAAGACAGAATTATAAATAATTATAACTTTACAATTTAATAATTGACACATATACTATAGTATTTACAGTATCATAAATGGTTTTTTTTCTTTTGTTACTTTTAGTAAGCAATCCCTGAGAACAGTTACTTTCATTGTTTGTTGGGGGGGGTTGTTATTTTTTCCTTTCGTTTCAGTATCTTCACAAATGGGAAAAAAAAAACGAAGAGTTTGCCAGTCTCCGCGAGTTGCAAAGCCGCCGCTCCCGGCGCTGCCATTGGCTTTGCTCTTGCTTGTTCTTTCCTTTTCGGCACGTCGCAGCCTCTGGGCGCCGCGTCCCGCAGGAAAGAGGTATCGGGTGTCCAGGTTCACTTTTGGTATCCACGTACGACGCTCGGGAGTGTGGGAGGCTGAACGACAAAACGAAGCAAAACAAAAAGGATCGCTCTTCCCATGCTTGTCTTTTGGTTTATGTGCCCTCGAATCCTCGGTGGATGTGAAACGGTCGAATGCAACGAGACTGGCCGGTGGGGGTTGGTGTCTTCGGCGCTGTCGTTGTCCATCCTCGCGCCGTGCCCGCGCTCACCCGAAACGCTCCCTCACCAGCATCATCAGTTTTTTCTTGCCCTTGTAGATCTGTTTGAGATTGTCTATGAACTGGGCGAACTGGATGTGGCCGTCCTGGGCCAGGAGGAAGGTCTCCCGGGCTTTGCTGAGGAACTCGATGAACTCGCCGTAGTGCCGCGGGCTGATGTGGGTGAGGCGGGAGTGCGTCGTGTTGATGTACGCACTTATCGTGGCGTCCAGCAGCTGCCGCAGCGGCGCCTTGTCCGTGGACATGAGCTTCCCCGAGTTCCTGCGGCCGGGGATGCCGGCCAGGCCCGGCGCCGTCATGGTGCAGCGGCGGAGGATGTCTGACAGCACCGTGGCACCGGGGACGCTCCTCACCGTGGCCCAGTGGACTCTCTTCACCACCAGCGGGATGATGGCGGCCAGCTCGTTCTTGCCCAGGGAGTGGCTCAGGGCGCAGGCCCACAGCACGTCGTTGATGGCCGGGTGCGTGTCCTGGTTGTAGGCCAGGTTGAGGTGGGTCATGGCCAGCGAGGCCAGCTTGAAGGCCCGCAACGGGTAGCCCCGGTGCTCCATGTAGCGGGCGATGGTGAAGAGCTGGGAGTAGGTCATGCCGGTGGAGGCGGCATCGATGACGATCTGGTAGGCCGTCTCGAAGGCAATGTGGTCCTTCTCGCAGAGCGTCAGGGCCGACAGGGCGCAGTTCTGCGGGTCCTTCATGGCGCACTGCAGCGCCAAGGTCCGGGCGCAGCTGGCCAGCTCCTCCCGCTGCGGGTAGTCCAGGCTGAGCCGCAGGATGGTGTTGTGGGACATCACCGTCGCCGCCACGATGCTCGTGGCCTCGGTGGGCGTGAAGAGCGTGTACCAGCTCTGCAGGATGCTCACCAGCGCCCGCACGCCTGCAAGATAGGGGCACGCAGTGCTCAGCAAAAGGGCTGGGGTGGGAACAACCTGGCTGGGGTCTCCGAGGCATGAGGTGGGATCTAAATTGCCAACGTGGGGGGGCTGGCAATCCCATCTCCCCTAGCCCATGAAGGAAGCGTGAGACAAGGGCACTCAGACCCACCAAATCAAGGCTAGAAGGGCGCAGTATCACCTTCCCGGGCACCCCGCGCCCTCCCCTGCCCAGGCTGGAGGATTTATCCCTAGAGCTCGAGCGAAGCACCTCTCTTGGAGGCCGACGCATTGGGTGCTGCCCTCAGCGAACCCCCCCACCGCGATGGGATATGGCCCCGCGCCGGCCAAGGTCACAGCACAGGGGGGGCCCAGGATTCAAGGTGGGGACGTGCTGCCTTCCCGCAACCCGGCAGAGACCAGCAGTACCCACCCACTTCCGTCGCGCAGGTGACCAGCCACCTCACCATCTCCCTCCGGCGCCAGTTGAGGGTGGACAGCGTCATGCGCATGACCTAGAGCACAAAACACACGGCGTCACCCTTCGCCTCGGGGCTCTCGGCTTCGCTCTCCAACCCCACCCGCCCTCGCTCCTGCCTAGAGGTGAGTGAAGCTGTCCTGAGAGGTGGTGGGACTCCTCGGGCACCTGGATGCTAACTCAGAAACTGGCCCGGTCCCTCTGAGAGCTTGCCGAGCTCCAGGAACGGACTTAGGACCCGCTCGGGAACAGCTCAAGGTGCAATGGTCCAATGCTGCAGTTACAACCCACTAACTCCCTTGGCTCTCCCCAAAGCAACCCCCCATGAATGGGGCTGCTAAAGCCTCTTGCTTTTTCCCTCCAGGGATGCCCCCTGCCTCTCTCCTTGCCACCCACCGCAACCCATGCCCACTACCTGCAACGCCAGCTCCAGCGCCACGTTGAGCAGCGTC